TGTACTACTGTCCTCTTTCCTGGTCTGAAACTCCTCTGGAAAGAGATGCACAGCCTCTAGTAAATCATAGTTTTTGTTTTGTTTAGTGTACTCTAAAGAGCTACATGGAACCTTTTAAATCATTCAAAACCAGGCCCTAAAGTCCTCTGTGATTAACAAATCAAACCCCTTTCTTTTCATGCAAGGCACCTGAGGCTGAGAGGTAAAGTGACTGTCCCAAGGTTACCAAGCTGGGGCAAGACCAAGGTGATACTGCCACCATCTGTTCATTCTCCTGCCACCTTTTCAACTAGGGTTTATCCCAACCTCCTCATTTCACAGAGAAAAACAGAACCAGTGTGAACAGAAACAATGCACTTGGGAAGAGTGAGCCGGGGCTCTTTTATCAATGTAGCTGGTTGAGCTTCGGTAGCCACAGGGGACCTGACTTTGAGGACACAAAACACAGGATCCTTCATGGTTCACAGTGGTGGTGTTAGGGAGAGGCAATGAGCCTTGCACCGTAGGTAGAACACAATGCAGCTGCAGATGCAGAGAGTTACCAGGGAGAGAAGGGCCCAGAAGACTGGGAAAATGATAGTGGTGTCAAACAGGAAAATTACACTAAATTACACCATGTCTATTTTACATTTTCCTCAGTCTCCGTCCTAGCCACAAGTGCACTGCAATCATATTTAGAGATACAGCTTATCTTGCTTTTTGAAACGTTTTTCTTAATATTTGTCCTAGGGTCCACAGGAAATGAAAAACTCAAGGCATCCCTAGCCCTCTCCCCGCAAGTCACCTGCTATGAATACCTACATTCATTCTTGGAAGCATTTATCACTCCCTGGAATGCCACATATTTATAAGCTGTCTCCACACATTAAGAATAAGATGTATAGAGCAGGAACCTGTCATTCTTCTCCATCCTATCTTCACAGTGCCTGCCTCCGTGCCTGACACACAGCAGGTGCTCCAAAGGAATAAATAAATTAGGAAATCCTACCACCTGCTTCTAGCATGTAATATCTACTACCTTGGAGTGGAATGAAAGGGTTATTAAAATACCCAATTACAGCCTCAGGTCTTTCCTTCTAGTGTGGAAACTCTACGGCAAGAACCAACACAAATTAAAGTGTCTAAAAAATCAATTGGGGCAGGCATCTTCTTCTGAACTACATTTACTAGAGCCTGCCACCCACAGATGTCAAAGGAATTCACAGGATTAAAAGAAAAGGCTGGAGGTGAGAAAGTTAATAACTACTCTTGCGACATCTAGGGCTGGGCTACAAGTGGTCAGCACATGGACCTCTCCATATATGTTGTTAGATGTCAAGGACTGGCTTTACAGATAGACAGCCTTGGACCCCAGTGCTAAATCTTCTACTTATTAGCACTGTGATCATGGGCAAGTTATTTAACCTCTCCAAACCTCTATTTCCTAATCTCTACCACAGAGATAACAGTAACTACTTCACAGGGCTGTTATGAGGCTCCAATGCAATAATATATGTAAGCAACTAGCTCAATGCCTGGCATACAATGGTAACTGCTATTACTATTGTTATATGAGCTATTGATATTTTTATCTGATCCCAGATAATACTCAATAATCAAAGTTAATCTCCATCTGCTTTTCTGAACCAGGAATTACTGCTTTATCCTGGGATTACTATAAGGTCAAGATGGCAAGTGAGTTTCAGCTCATATTCCGAGTCACATGGATTTCAAGTGAATGCTTGGGGGCTGGTTGAGATGCACTGTGCTGTGATTGATTGTGACATGTGCCAAGGATGTGGAGCCAGGCTTGTTGGTTGGTTCTAATATTAGAATTGGTAAGCCTCTTGTAGTAGTATCACGGAGACTAACAGCTATTTTAATATTACATAATAAAGCATAGAGAAATCAAAAGAATGGGCTAAGAGTCAGATGGTTTAAGTTCTAATTTTAGCTCTTCAACTAACTGGTGAGAAGATCAGAATATGCTACCCCAAATTATGACACTTTGGCATGAAGATTATTTTGAGCTGAAAGCAACTGAGAAACAACAGAAAAAGCTCTCTACCCTCCCCCTATCTGGCTATAAGCAAGGCATACATTTCCCCTTGTAAAGGTACCCTCTGCCCCAACCCATACCAGGAAGAGGAGACAACACTTATCACTACAGATGGGCACTGACTTAAATCTGCTAAAACAAACCTTATTGAAGTAACCCTTGTCTTCCATTAGTTCCCACATATATTTACCTTCCCACAATTTATGGCCCCTAGAAGCCTCAAACCATTTACCTTTATTTTGTCACTTCTCCATTAAGTTTATTGCACTTTGTTAAAATGGTATATAAGTCTCCAGATCTGATGACCTTCCTGGGGATTTTCACTTAATTTCTGTGAGGCCCCCTCATATACATATAAAATAATCCTTTCTCTCCTGTTAACCTGTCTTTTGTAAGTTTATTTTGTGGGGCCCCAGACACTGAATATAAGCGGGTAGAGGAAGAAGTTGGGTTTTTTCCTCTCTAACACTGAGTAAGTGATTTTAATCCAGTCACTTCTCTTTCACTGTAAAGTTATTTCCAATTGAAGTACTGTGATTTGCTGATACTGATTTTTTAAAATGTAAGTAAAGTAAAATACATATAGCTCTGACAGGGCCTGGGGTACAGGATGGGTACTTTTTGTGATTCTTTGAAAGAAAAATAAAAGCACAAGGCTATTATATGGAACTGTAACAGTTAAATATTTTCTGTCCTCATTCAAAAAGATTGACTCTTCCTATCAATGAGAAATATATTCACAATGAGAAAAAATTGTAATATTTTTGGCACTAAAAAAAAAATCAGCAAATGCTTAGTAATTCTCCAAGAAAGACAAGACTGTCGTGAATATGGCGGCTCTTTAATAACCAAGGCACCATTTAAAAATAGCTAGAATTAATTACAGGGCTAATGACCCATTGAAAGGCTTATTTAAATACCAAAGCCAGCACTGAACAATCATGGAAAATATGGCTTAAAAGGGCTTTAGAGAGCAGAAACCAGGAACCGCAGTTGAAACAAAAAACACATTATCCTAGAACTCTAGCTACTTTGGTAAGAAACATTCAGGATGTGAAAAATCTCAGGGGAGTTCTCAGGCTGGGTAATAGAAGCCACTAGGATCAACAGACAAGAAGATGACACATACGGTCACCTGTTTGGAAAAGAAGGACTGCTATTTAGCATTCACCCAAAGAGAAGAGAGAAGAGCCCTTCTAAAACCGTTCTCCCCCAACCATCAAGGCTTTCTTTCCCCCATGCTCACCCCCTGCTTTTCTGATGTAGCCATCCTGTGTACCATAGGATAAAATTAAAATTTCCACAGAGAGGAAAATATATATTTTAATAAGTCTCTGTGGCCCATTTTAAGGCTGCATTATCTCCAAGAGTTTCCTGTGTCTTGGTCCTCTGTGCCCTGCATCCACGCCATCATAAGCCAAAGAAGAGGTGATAATCTTCAGTGTGTCCTACTTGCCAGGCAAAAGTGATGCCACTGCAGTTCTTAGCTTCTCTCTGTACCAAAATGGCCTTTCTGTACATCAGTCTTCTGGGAGCACACCAGGTGGCCAGAGCTGAAACAGTTTCATTACTTCATTCATGGCCATTGATTAAATGCATTACTCTTACCCTTATTTACTATGGCCTAGACATGCCTTGTAGTTGCCTTGCTAAGTTAAAAGTGTAATAAAATCAAAAGCTTCCAAAGCCCTTGAGAGCTCAAGGTGGGGAGGTAGGAGAGGGAGTGAGGCACTCTCGACATATATTGGTTTCAAGGAGCAAATATAAATTTTAGTATAAATTGCCGTTCACAATAACGCTTTTAAACCAGCAATTATTTATACTGTACTACTCGAGAAACCCTATAATTATTCTGAAAGCACTTGCCAACGTCTACCCTGTTTCATATTTGCCAACACAGCCTTGTTCAAAAGAATTAGTGGCGATGTCAAAATTCTGCTTGGTACTAGGGTTACTGTTTGAAACAAGAAGTGACTGCATGATGTTGGGATATTCAAGCAGAATGGGGCCAATAAAGTACCCTAAGAATGAAATTGTCTTGTATTCGTATTCATAGGTGGGAAGAAAAAGGAAGGTGGTGGCTGAAAGGGAAAAAAATTGCTTGAATCTTTTTCCTTTTTCCTTTTTTTTTTTTTTTTTTTACTACTTTCCCAAGAAATACTGTCATCTGTTGAGCAAAGTGACTTTAAGAAAATGTTTTTTCAAATGCTGGAAATGGTAGTGATTTGTAGGAAAAAAGATAACCCACTTCTCCCTCTTCCCCACTCCTTCCTTCCTGGAAAATGTTTCTATTTCCGGCCTTTACTCCTGATATTTGTAAGTGAATCTGGGTAGTGATTGTAGAACCTCGGCTTACACATCTCAAAACACCCATCTGTGCAGGTCACTTGACTTTGCTGACCTATTTTCTGCTGTTTCTTTCTGTTACACAAATCTCCCCCACTTGAAAGAGCAATAGTCCCTCTACTTTCCAATGAAGCACAGACAGCAGAGAGATTTCTCACTCTCTGTAAATGCAGAAGCTTTTGGAGTGTCTGGCATTTCAGGTGAGTGTTTAGGAAAAACCGGATCTCATCCTGGGTGTCTCTCTCATCTTTATTTCATGCTTTCTCTTCTTATAAACCCACCCAATTGTGGACAAGGGGATCTGTGTTCCCCCTCGGCAAGTGAAAATACATTCTAAATCTACCCTCAAAATTGAGGGTGCTGTGCAAAGTTTCATAAATAGAAACAGGCAGGAGAAAAATCTGGCTTGACAACTTCTGAATTTAAGCCATTTATTCTCACCTCCACCCCATTTCTATCCCGCCTCTTCTCTTTTTTGAACACGTCATGTAAAAGCAGAGAACTAAGGCAGCTACCTAAAATAAACTTTGTATTACTTGTCTAAATATTTTAGGGAAGTGTTTTTCCTATTCTGAGTGTCCAGGCTATTTTCTCAGTTCTCGTGTTCACTCTGCAGGTGAAGATACTGTCACTGACCGGGGAATGTGCCTGTGGACCATAACCCAAAGGTGGCATCTTTTGTGACAAAAGAGGTATAACCCTGTTTCATGAGTCTGTTGGCCAGGAAAGAGATCCTCTGTGCCTGGAAGTTCACGGCTTCCCCTTTCTCTTCATCATTTCAGGTTCTGCGGGAGGCTCCATCTTTGATTCAAACCTCACTTCTTCCTAAAAGCCTTCGTCAATGAAGAAACCTTGCAAATTACAATAGATGTTTCCCCTCACCATTCATGTATCTAGTTTGTACTTCCTTATCTTCCTTTTGTGAATACAGTGGCTTGCCATTTTGCCTCGAGGAACACTTGTTTGTCCACCCCAATCCAGTGATAAAGGAGAAGGAAAAGATTTATCAGATCATGTATTTATGCACAGCGCATCCCCAAACGCTTCAGCAGCAATAAGTACCCAAAAAAGTACTGTTTAGGTAGCCAACTCCCACTGTCTAATTTAATCCCACTGAGACTGGATGTGTCTTTTTCTCCTTTTGTTCTAAAGAAACTTCTTCTACTACTATTTGCTGGCAGGAATAACTTTCTGCCACCTGTAGTACTCTCTGCTTCTGTGAAGGCTGAACTTCAAGTTGCTGTGAAAGAATCTGCATTATCCCTCTATAGTCATACCTAAAATTAACCCACTGTCTCAAGTTAAATAAGATCTAGAATGCTCACAACTGTTATGGTTATCGGAGAACTAGAGAGTGGGGCTTTCTGGCACTACGAGAGGATGTAGAAGATGACACGTGGTTTGGCCTTTATTTGGAAGCAGCAGAAATCACAGAGGTGGTGGTTACAAGACAAAAAAGGCCAGGGGAGTGAACACAAAGTTTTGGCTGAGTTACTTTGTACTATTATGTAATGAGATACAAGTTCAGCCTTGCTTGAGTTTAAATAACCATAATGAACTGTTACAAACTCTGGGATGGAGACATTATAAACATAGGAAATTCTGTACTTGGTCCTCCAGTTGGTCAAGTCTACCTGTATTCATAAGGAACACATTCATTCCCTTGGGCTACAAGAGAAACATTCTGCAAACTGGAAATAGAAGTTACTTTCTGGATGGTTCTCTCAAAGAATATAATGAAGTAAATCCGAACTTCAGAAATCTCTGTGATCATGTATTTTAGAACATCACCAGAGCAAATAGCAATGAATCTCAGCTGATTAGAGCTTTAGTAAGTAATTGGGATAGCTGAATATCCAAATAGCTGGATTTTTATCCAAGTAAACACATGAAAACAAAGACGGCAGTTATCATAAATATTTTTAAAGGAATATTTCTAAATTATGACATATTTATTTTCTTTTTAGAGAATTTTGAATAGAATTTACTTTCCTGATGATAAACAGTCATCAGAAATTTTATTTTAAAATTTATTAGAAATGTGGAGAGCAGGATGTCTAGCCTCTGAATGGGAACCTTAGTAGTGCCAATGACGAAAGAGAGAATTAAATATGGGTGATGTTGAGAAAAGCAAGATTTTTGTCTAGAAGTATGCCCAGTGCCACACTGTGGGAAAGGGAGACAAACACAAGACTAGGCCACATCTCCATGGTCTCTGGACAGAGGACAGCTCAGGCCTTTGGATTCACTTACACAGACGCCAGTAAAAACAAAAGCATCACCTGGGGACAGGAAACACTGATGGAGTATTTGAAGAATCCCAAAAAGTTCATCCCTGGAACAAAATTGATCTTCACTAGCATTAAGAAGAAAGCAGAAAGGGCACACTTGATAGCCTATCTCAAAAAAACTTACGAGCATTAATTAGTTGGCCACTGCCTTGTTTATTACAAAACAGGAACATCTCATGACTTTTTAATGTGTACCATGATTTAATAGATCTCATACACCAGAATTCAGATCATTAACATCTGACAGAATATTTTTGTTGGGCAATCCTGTTAACTAAGACTGGATTGTGGCTAAATGAGTATGTTCTATGTTTCTTTGAATTTTGATAGTAATTTTGATTCAGTAAATGCTGTCACTGTTTCCCCCTTCTGAAGATATGGTTGGACTTCATTAGTAATGTTCAACTTTTCATAAAGATGAATACCACCTTAAAACCTATTGGAAACTGGTTTTATGTTTACATTTATATAACTAGCTATGTGAATATATTTAAATACTGGGGAAATTCCTTCACTGTCTCAGAATCAAGCAAGAGTCACCTGTATTTTGTGTTCTTTTGCCTCTTATAGGCAAGGGCTGAAGATAAGGTAGCAATGTCTACTTTATATTTTTGGCTTTGACTATGCCAATCAAATTAGAATTCTCTGTATCTAAAATGGTTTCCTTTACTTATAGAAAGGTATTTTAGTGTAGACTTTAGAGAAGTGCAATATTTAGAGTGATATTATACACTAAAGTGTGATAGTTGAGAAGAGTTAAATATTTTTTACTTGATATTACACTTTGGCATGTACTGTAATATCAAATATACTTTATAAATAATAAAATCTTATAAATAACAAAATCTAATAAAAATCAAATAAAGAAATTTAATATTACACACCAAAGTGTAATACCAAATAAAGAGTATTTTACTCTTCTCAAAAAAATCTACTAGACACTTATGAAAAAAGTATTAAATTATTGTTTACGCTATAATGCTCTCAAGGCCTTCTAAGATTTATATGACATTTTGGCCCAACACTAAGTGCCCTGGTTGTTTTCCTTTTTATGTTTTTTCTTCCTCCTTCATCTATTGTTTTCCTTCTTTCTGTAGTCATATGCTAGATCTTATGAGGCCCTCCCTCTACTTGTAATTAATATTTTGTCTTAGAATTAGCTATGTCTTGGAACCCAACCAGATAACTAAGCTTGTGTAAAAACCAATTATAAATAGGATGTACTGGGTCTAAAGAGATTTCCTCTGAGATCAAGTGCATGCACTGTAGTGCTTGAACTTTGGGATTCTGTTTTGGCAACCTAAAGGCCTATTTGCTGACTTCCTAACTTCTCAGATGGTTTGTGACAGCGAAGGTTGCGAGAGGACAGATTCATCACAGGTGAGGTATTGCTGTAGTAGGAAGGCAAAAAAGGTAATTGAAAGACCCTGTTCTTCAAATTACCAAGAGAAAGATGTCTGCAGGGAATAGGACAATCAACTTTCTGTTATTTGCATTACGGCTTGATAATTATCACAAGTACATTCAGTTTGAGAGTTTCTCCATCTCTTCTCAATGCCTTCAAATAGATATGTTATAAGACATGGCAAATTGATTATTTACCTAAGCAAGGCCAATGTCACGTTCCAAAAATATTTCAAAGCCAAATACACATAACTTTATAAATTTGGCCACTGTTTTTTTCTCCCCTTGACTGTTTTATTCTTGATTGCAATAGCCAAGAGTTAATATAGTTGCATTTTCTTAAGGAAACAACATAAGTTCTAACAAGAAATCTGTGAAAATGAATTTGTGATTTTAGTTCATTTTTGGATGATATCAACTAATCATTGTAGTACGTACCTGGCAAAGCAAAAAGTTTATCATGGCAACTCCTTATTTTGTTCCCTATGAGACTGTATTATATTTGGATCTCTCTAGAACATTTGACTCCCTTCTTAAGGAGACTGATGTTGAAAATTATCATATAGCCACAAAACGCAGTCCATTTTATATTAAAATGTATGTTTCTAAAATTTTTTTCTTTTGTTTTGTGTTCTCAAGAGTGCTTTCTATAACAAATTCATGTGACATAAACAGGGCCAGCTTGCCCTAGTTTACACCTTTACTATTTCACTAACACGGGAACTGGGCTTCTATTCTGTTTTTGTTATGCTTATGCTGAATAACTGTACTCAGCCAGCTGCCATGACTTGTCTGTAATCCCAGCATTTTAGGAAGCCAAGATGAGAGGATCACTTGAGCTCAGGAGTTCAAGACCAGCCTGGACAACATAGTGAGACCCTGCCTCAAAAAAAAAAAAAAAAAATTAGCCGAGTGTGGTGCTGCCAGTCTGTGCCTGCCTGTAGTCTTGGCTACTGGTGGAGGAGAGGGGCCTGAGGTGGGAGGATCACTTGAGCCTGGGTCACGGCTGCAGTGAGCTGTGGCAACAGAGCAAAACCCTGGGTGACACAGCAAGATGCTGTCTCAATAAAAATAAGTACCTAACTGTATTCAAATGGCTTTCTTCTTCTAATGTGGCTGCCTGGGCAATTTGTCCATCTTTCCCCAGCAGCAGCTGCTAATGTTTAAGTGTAATTTTAGGCTAAAAATTTTTTTAATTAAAAAAATTAAAAGTTATACCAGCTTATTGAAGCAAATATAGAAAATACAGAGAAGTATAAGGAACAAAAAATAAAACATATTGTCTTCACTGCAGAGACAACTAAGTCTTTAAAAATGTACATGTCTGTCTATACACATCTGTACTCACACATGAGCACACACGCATGCTGGCAGTGATGTTTTAAAATGTAAGTGTTTTTATACATGGGAAGTTTTAAATTGTGTTTTTTTAAATATTGGAGAATGCAAAATAATAATAAATAATGAGGCGTAATTGTAATTGTGATGACAAGAAAGCAGTAAAAAAAAAAGTGAAACTCTTTAACTCTGAAACTAACGTAAGAATTTTATCCCATGTTGTAGATCCAGGAACACTTGAGGAAGACGCTGTAACCACAAGATGGCTCTCAAGGTTTTTGGACCCCCTTCCATAATGTGATAGATTCTGAATTGTAAAATACCAATACAGTTTTTAAAAGCGTCAGGAAATGCAGAAGGAAAGTACATCTCAAGCTAAAACTTTATCCATTGAGAAAAGAAAAATAGCTCAGAACCATTTGAGCTATATGAGTTATGCAAAATTTCTCACACCCTGAGAGGCATGATATGGACTTCAGTCACGCTCCCCCCATGCAGGAGTGGTGGTGGGGAACTATTTAAAGCTGTTTGGTTTCTGACTAGATGCTGCCTCCATTATCTTCATGTTACTGGGATCTGTGGTCCAAAGAACAATAGCTTATGGGTTTACAAAAAAATTATTTTTTTCTTTCTTTTGAGACAGAGTTTTGCTCTTGATGCCTAGGCTGGAGTACAGTGGTGTGATCTCGGCTCACCACAACCTCTGCCTCGCAGGTTCAAGCGATTCTCCTGCCTCAAGCCTCCTGAGTAGCTGGGATTACAGGCGTGCACCACCACATCTGGCTAATTTTGTATTTTTAGTTTCACCATGTTGGTGAGGCTGGTCTCGAACTCCCGACCTCTCTGCCTTGGTCTCCCAAAGTGCTGGGATTACAGGCATGAGCCACCGCGCCCAGCCGGTTTACAAAAATTTTGTTGAGACAGAGTCTCACTCTCACCCAGGCTGGAGTGCAATGGCACAATCATAGCTAACTGCAGCCTCGACCTCCTGGGCTCACACAATCCTCTTGCCTCAGCTTCCCAAGTAACTGGGACGACAGGCATGTGCCAATATGCCCAGGTAGTTTTAAAATTTTTTGGTAGGAGGGGGAGGTTTGTTTTTGTTTTGAGACAGAGTCTTGCTCTGTCGCCCAGGTTGGAGTGCATTGGCTCTATCCTGGCTCACTGCAACCTCTGCCTCCTGGGTTCAGGCGATTCTCCTACCTCAGCGTCCCAAGCAGCTGGGACTACAGGCGTGTGCTACCACACCCAGCTAACTTTTTGTATTTTTTTTTTTTAGCAGAGATGGGGTTTCACCGTGTTAGCCAGGATGGTCTCGATCTCCTGACCTCGTGATCCACCCGCCTTGGCCTCCCAAAGTGCTAGGATTACAGGCATGAGCCACCGTGCCTGGCTTTAAATTTTTTGTAGAGATTGGGGTCTTGTTATGTTGCCCAGGTTGCTCTCAAACTCTTGGGCTTAATTGTCCTGCCTCAGACTCTCAAAGTGCTGAAATTATAGGCATGAGCCACCGAGCCTGGCCAATAGCTTATGTTATTTAAATATGAATTCTTGGTAAACAATTTAGGAACTGCCTCTTATTTTTTCCTTTAAAAATTCACTTGTAACTGCTGTTAATCCGAGTGTACAAGGCAACTTGAATCTGTACTCCCAGGTGGCTATCCTCAAGTTTGGGCTCAAATAAATGCTATACTTTATCATATTTTCTGAATCTTGTTATTTAAGGCTGACCCGTATAAGTTGAAATTCTGCCAGAGTGAACATGGAGTCAGTCTACCAAAGTAAAACCAAACTAAGGTGAATATTTAAATATTCAGACAAACATCCCTACTACTGAAACAAATCACAAATATTTGCTTAGCATCCACTAAGTGCACGATGCTGATGGTGCAAATACCAGGTATGCCAGACAACTGCCCAGCCTTTTATACCTCTTGGCCTAACTAGACACACCTGCAGTTTTCCACATGGAATTCCTCTTCTTGTACTTTGGCTTAAGTGTGCATTTATTCTAATGGTGGAAAATATTAAACAGACTTTGGATTTAGAAGGTATCTCACTTCACTTCAAAGCAAAGTCTACCTTGTGAATTTAATTAGGGAACCTTCATGAGATTTTAGCCCTGATGTGTATTTCTAACTATTTTAGTCATCAAGAACACTTACTGTTCCAATTCTGCCACTGATGTGGTTGATCTTAGGGAAATTTCTTTGAGCCTCGGTTTCTTCATTTGTAGCATGGGGATCTTACCCACCTAAAACCACACTGAGATAGCTACAGGGCTTGGGGGGACAGGAGACTCGCAGTAAACAGCAGCTCTTATTGTTGTGCCCCAGAGTCTCTTAGGAAACGGGCTCCCCAGAGGTTCAAACCAAGGCTTTTCCTGTGTGACTACATCACAGACATTGTTTATCAGAGGACACATCTTCTAGTTCACTGTGGTTCATTCTTGGTGGTCACTGGAAGTTTGCTCCATGACAGCAAGCACACACACAGGTAGCGATGGCCTACATATTTATTTTCACGCAATGTCTTCCAGCAAACATGGCATTCAGTATTGTATGAAACATCCCCACAGTATTCCACAGTCCTGCATACGGCTTTCACTTTGCCCTCTATTGTACGGCCTTTCATGGGCTGCTTGGCTTGAGCACACTTCTCACTACATACTTCTTTTTATTAGTCTGTGAATTTTATATCCAGATAATGAATCCAAAGTCTGAGAAATATGCATGCTTACAATTGGTATACAGCACGGCTGTGGAGACGTGGTTGAGAAGCTCTGGGATGAGACACCTAAATTCAAATCTTCTGTGTGAATCTGTGCAAAAATTTTAACCTCTTTGATCCTCAGTTCCCCTCCTCTGTAGAATGGTTATCCCCATTCTGGGTTATCCCCAGAGTTGTTGAAAGTTAAAAGTGATCATGCTTGTTCAGTGTTTAGCCCAGTGTTTGGCATATAGAAAAAATGCAATAAATGGCATCTTAGGATGCAACTGTTACTGATTTTATCTTAACATAATGCTGTTCACATTTGGCCCACCAAATAAGATCATCTTTTGCAGCCATTTTTCACTGCCAGTGATAGCAATTTGGTGAGAATGATCTACACTCTCATCTAGTTGCTTTTACCTTCACTTACGAGAGAGCTGGCTAGGGATAGGCGTAAACTGAGGGCGACGAAAGACTATTTTCCTGTGTTCTAAGTCTGCTGCGCTGTATTAAATCTGATCTTTTGGTCTCATCAGGACAATCCTCTAACCAGGAAAGGTGGGGGCCTGGGAAGACTACAGCTTGCTAGAGCAAGTCATCTTTGACAAGTTGAACTTTCAACAAGTTTATCACTCAAATATATGTAGGGGATAGGGAATCTGCGAGAATCCTAGATTAAAAGTATTTTATCAGCACAAAACAGTGATTATTCTAAAACAATTATATGAGAACATAAAAGTATTGATATTTAAACAACTCAATACCCCAATAATGCCCGAACTAAAACCCTGCAACCAGTACAAGAATAGCATTATTATACATTTTTGCTTCACTTTGTGGAACTTTAAATTTAATGCCACAACCAACAGCTTACAAACTGCTGTGGGCAAGCAGCGACCCCCCTGTGAGCTCGGTAAATGTTATCTATTGTATTCTACCAATATCTCAGCAAAAAGACAGAGTGTTCCTGAAACAGTCTCTAAAGTCATCCATCAGAGCTTTGAAGAACACTGTCTTCTTTTCATGTGGGCTGATTTTAAGGGACAACAGAGGTTTAACAGAGGACAACACAATTGGATTGAGATAAAACTGCTATATTCCCAAGAATTCTCCCATAAAGGTAAATTCCCCAGATAACACATTTACTTTTTTTCTTTTTAAATTTTTGATTTTTAATTTTTAAAGTTGCTTTTTCTTGCAACTAGAAGCTCAAGTACTATTGCTATTCAGTGTTGGTTTCAGATAGTGCTAGAGGTGGCAAAAATAATTCTGCAAATGCGACTCACAGTGTGCACATTATATGTAATCTATTTTCATGTATTCATTAGCAGAGACATTTGGAATACCTTGTTGCTGAATAATGAAATAAATTGCATTTGTCCAATATCTTCCCATCTATATCTCATTTATATCCGGACTTGAGCCTACACCAATGTTATTCAACAGCCAACTCTGTCTCATTCATAATGGATTTTTCTCCAGATGGATCTGTTTCATGTTAAAATTAGTGATAAAGGTAGTTTTTAATGGAATAGGCAGCAGGTAACAGCAGCTTCCAAA